ACCCAGCCAATAGACAATGTTTGTTTGTTTTTGAGGCAGCGTCTTGCAGTGTTGCCCAGGGTGGTCTCCAACTCCTCCAAGTAATGTTCCCACCTCTATCTCCCAAAGTGGTGGAATTAGAGGTGTGAGCCACTACACCCAGCTTCTAAAAGGTTTTTAACAATCTGTCTTATTTATTTATTTATTTATTTATTTATTTATTTTAGACAGTCTTGCTGTGTTGCACACCTTGGAGTACAGTGGTACGACCTTGGCTCACTGAAACCTTCTGCCTCCCAGGTTTGGGCAATTTTTGTACCTCAGCCTCCAAAGTAGCTGGGATTACAGGCACCCGCCACCACACCCGGCTAATTTCTGTATTTTTTAGTAGAGACAGGGTTACACCATGTTGGCCAGGCTGGTCTCAAACTCCCGACCTCAGGTGATCTGCCCGCCTTGGCCTTCGAAAGTGCTGGGATTACAGGCCCAAACCACCACTTCCAGCCACAGTCTCTTTTAAAGAGGGGTTTTATAACTATTAAATTCCTTTAACACTTTCAAACTATGCTTGTAAATTTAATGTTAGGTTTTTCCATTTAAAGAGCCACAAGTAGGGCCAGGCGTGGTGGCTCACGCCTGTAATCCTAGCACTTTGGGAGGCCAAAGTAGGTGGATCACTTGAGGCTGGGAGTTCAAGACCAGCCTGGTCAACATGACAAAACCCTGTCTCTACTAAAAATACTAAAATTAACCAGGTGTAGTCACGGGTGCCTGTAATCCCAGCTACTTGGGAGGCTGAGGCACAAAAATCGTTTGAAAACAAGAGGCAGAGGCTGCAGTGAGCCAAGATTGCACCACTATATTCCAGCTTGGGTGACAGAGTGAGATTCTGTCTCAGAAAAAAAAAAAAAAAAGCCAAAGTAGGCTGACTTACCAGATGAACAGATGACTCTTCAATTCTTAAATAACTTTTATGAATCAAAAATTCATAAACTGTACATAAACAGATTTCAAGTAAGTCTTAGTCACCAACTGAATTCCACATTTTACAATGGAATTACAAGATGGACCTGTTGTTTGAATAGGCCAGTTTGCCTTAAATATTACAGATTCTTAAAGTACCAAGTATCCACAGATTCTCTAACACAAAGTTAATACCCCGGGGGCTGGGCACAGTGGCTCACGCCTGTAATCCCAACACTTTGGGAGGCCAAAGCGGGTGGATCACCTGAGGTCAGGTGTTCAAGACCAGCCTGGCCAACATGGCAAAACCCTGTCTCTATTAAAAATACAAAAATTAGCCAAGCGGGTGCCTGTAATCCCCGATACTTGGGAGGCTGAAGCACGAAAATCACTTGAACCTGGGAGGTGGAGGTTGCACTGAGCGGAGATTACGCCATTGCACTCCAGCCTGGGCAACAGAGCGAGACTCTATCTCAAACAAAAAGAAAAAACAAAGTTAGGCCTGGCGCGTTGGCTCGTGCCTGTAATCCCAGCACTTTAGGAGGCCAAGTCGGGCGGATCACGAGGTCAGGAGATGGAGACCATCCTGGCTAACACAGTGAAACCCTGTCTCTACTAAAAATACAAAAAATTATCCGGGCATGGTGGCGGGCGCCTATAGTCCCAGCTACTCGGGTGGCTGAGGCAGGAGAATGGCGTGAACCTGGAAGGTGGAGGTTGCAGTGAGCTGAGACCGTGCCGTTGCACTCCAACCTGGGTGACAGCAAGACTCGGTCTCAAAAAACAAAAAAACAAA